AGATCACAGAAAATATCCTTTTCTGCAACATCTTCCTCATCCTCTCTAGGGATGCCCAAGTGGTCTCAAGTCCTTTTCTATGGTCTCTATGAAGACTGCTATGATTGGTCCCTAAATGATTGAAGAGAACCTTGATTTAAACAGAAGCCCAAGGGCCCAGTAATGGGACCGGGACTGGGCCAAAGCTCAACTTCAGAAAATTACCTTATTGTCTCAACACATGCAAAGCAAATTAAATATTTGACTTGAGGGGTCTGAAGGAAATGTAACCATTTGTGCTTATCATGAATGGGGTTAAGGCTTAGGCGCCTTAACTATGGACACTTGCGTAGCTGATGATTACAGAACTGTAAAAACCGACAAGCCCCTGAGTACGGAGCACACCTACGGTAATTACATGAAATCAGTGTGATATTTGTCTTTCTTTGTCAGAAATGTGCAGGGAAATTTCATCAAACTGCACACTAGAAGTGGACATTGAGAGATTAGAAAGTGGCTAATCTCCTGTTCTATCGTCACTTTCACTTTGTCAGCAGCCAAGGCTGAAAGGGATGACAGCACAACCTGAGAGCGTTTGGTCCCTAGGAATTAACTACTGTAGACCCCTAATTAATTTCAATCAGGATAAGACCAACATTTGCAAATAGGATAAAAATAGGTTTTTATAACAAGATAGTTTAAGATAAAACTCCTTAATAATAAGATCTTAAAAGCATCTCACAGTATGCTGAGGAGGTGGGCTCCAGCCTACAGCATGTTACACAACGTGGTGGGACCATAGCTGCTGGTTGTCTGCCACTCAGTCTTGTCAAGGTCAAAGTTTAGGATCCTCATCATTCTTGTTGTCGTCGCCATCATAATCACCATTGCCTCTCATCCTCATCTCCCTCTGTCTCGATCCCAGTCTCCCACAGCTGAGTGGTGTAATTATAATTAGTAGGTGTAGGGTCACTGTGGTCGGTCATCATTGATTATAGAAGCAAATAAAAATAATATAAAATCACTATTTAAAAAACTATAAATACATTAAATTTGAATAAATCCAGTCCAGTTCCAAAGGTAAACAGCTGCATGTTAGTGGTTAATGAATGAGTTAGTAAATGAAAATATGATGAATTGTTCTAAAGGGAACAAACGTGATGATTTTACATTTAAATGTAAAAAGTCTATATGACAACACTGTAACTGCGGAGAAGGGTGATGCTTCCTCACCATAAACATGTACAACTATTGTGGTGGGGATGGTTTCCTGGTCATGTTAATTTGGTCACAAATTTACATGGAAAGATCAGAAAAGCAGTTATTTGGGTCTAAATTGAATGTTAAAATATATAAGGTCAGTAGTAGCTGCCTTATTGTAATGCAAGCTATGTGACTAACACATCGAGCAGACAATTCATCAGATTTGAGTCTTGTGGGTTTAATTACGAAATAACATATTCATACTATTATTTCTAATTACACAAGGCCATGACACTGGCTGATGAACTTGCATTAATAATGTGTGTGCGTGTGTGTGTGTGAAGAAGAAAAGGGGTTAATTAGTGTGCCTCTTTGCAGAAGCAATACTTTTGGCTATGGAGCAGGAAGACTACTGTCTATAATAGGAAGAGAAAAACAACAGAGACTAGCTGCTCATTTCTGGAGGCATTTTAATTGCTAGAATACAGAGCCAAGCTAAAAATGTCTCCACTGGCCTCCAGCATGAGAAAGTAACAGAAGCTGCTCTCTGCAACACCTCTGAATCAATGCTGCAGAATAATGTTAATTGTCAAAATACTCTGAAATATAAGGCACTTACATCGGATGCACTTAATGAAACTAGATCTTCTGACAAATGTGACTTCTACTGGTATAAAAGTTACTGTTGTAAGAAACCTGCCTCTGATACTGTGAACATCTGAGTCTAATCTGTACAAATTCTTCTCTCCCTCACTCAATTCAGCACACAAGAACAGGCGAAATGACACTGTGGGTGTCAAGCTACTCGGCTCAGCCAAAGGCCCCTCTTGTAAAATCACTAAGTTGTGATTCCGCCGACATTCTCCCGTCCCTTTGACTTTTTGCAATCAGTGAAAGTATATCCTAAGACACAGACAGTGAGCAGCACCGGTGTTTCCTAAGGCTGCAGTATTGACTGTCTGTGACACTGTGGGTGTGTGACTGTAGAGCATTAAGTGACTTTCTCAGAGGCGGTTTTACCTCTGCGGGTGCTGAAAACGGGATGTAAACAGTTGCCGCTCAGTAGAAGCCGCAAAATAATAAAGTTAAATTTAACACAGGTTGAAGAACAAGACCATGACTGTGCCTCCCATTTATCCACTTTTAATCCTGTAAACCAGTTCAGCCCTCCTCTGTCTGTTTCAGGTTTACACCCCCTCCCCTTCATTCCCTTTGCTTCTTATGTTGCCTCTATATTCTCTCTTCCTGTCTGTCAGTTGTTACAGAGACCTCAAGGGGAAACGGCACTTAGCTTAAGTCTCGTTACCCAGGGCTGAATCGTTTGACTTTTGCTCCTAATGATTTCCATCCATTTGATGAGCCCACCTTTACACCAACTTCAATTTAATCTCATTAAATTATTGAACAATTTCCTATCTGGGGTTGTGGAAGAGTCATCTACACCACATAAGGGAGGCTGAACATATACTCATTGTTCCCAGACCCTAAATCAGCTTTCAAAGGGGGAGCTTTCTAGCTGCATCCCCTGTCCCACATTCATTCCTAACTCCCGTTTCTGGTCCTGAATTTCCAGCTTGAAACCAATATGGCCGTCGCCCACAGGGGACACTGACCAAAGTGGGCTGACCAGAGTATATAACATACATAACAGAGTCGCTTACCACAGCATCAAAATACTGGCAACCAAGCCTTTTCTGTCACACTTTACTGCTTCCAGTGCTGAGGTTTTCCCAAAACCGCTCACCGCTCATCTCAAAAGCCACTTCTCACCAGGCTCTGGGTCATTCACAGAATTCCATCCCTGTGGACCATTCATGATTTGTGATGGTTTCTAAGGAATGATCTATCTGTGTGTATTTGCTGTGTTTGTGTCGATACTTTTGTCAACAGATCAGACACCACATTATTTTGATTTAAACCTGACTAAAAGGACACATGCACATTTATCCTTTTATGAAAGACTATGATCATTAAGTGTGCTGAACAATATTTCATGATAGACTATGCTAGATATTCCAATTTTCAACTGTTTTTCTTAGCAAGCTGATCGTTTGGTGAACAGTTTAATGTAAAGCCACAGGAATATGGCTATCTAGATGGATACTCCAGGTAGAGTATCTATTTCATCTGCTTCATTAACCCCTCAGGCAGATCGCACCTTGGATGTATGTGTTAGGTAATGCCCTTCATATAGATAATGGCTTACTATTTACATCCACAGGCGGATATGCTGTTCAGCCAGCTCAGAAATGCCCTGGTTAGCATAGAGATCATATCTCTTAATGTAACAAGGTACATTTACTATTAGGGCTTGAGGGTAATATATTCAGCAAGGGTATATTGTGCATCGCTGGAGAAATGAATGACAAACCTATGAACTCACATATTGTAAATCACCCTGAAGAAGAAGCTAAATGGCTAAATAGTCATGTAAATAAAAATACCTTAATGTTTTCCATTCCCAGTTCCTTTGACACCACAGTAAAAAATAGCCCCACGTATACACAACTTTCACAACATGCAAGTGAGTAATATTGTTTTAAATGAAGGATGACAGTGGTTTTCAATACCGCTGCCAACGAAACTCCCACAAATGTTCCCATGAGTCCAGTGTTTATTTCGTTTTAAATACATGTGTTTATTTTTGTGGAGCGTTCCATTCTCCAGCTTGGACACACTAAGGCAGCGGGAAGCCTTGATTAACCCCTCCCAAATCCTCAGCACTTGGTTTTAATTACCCTTGTTGCAAAAAAAATTCTAATGCACAAGAAAGTCATGAATCAGTCACTTGATAGCATGTCTCCGGAGGTAAAACTGTAAATCTTTAGGTATTGCAGTGCATGAGCACTCAAGCCATATGCTCTTAACATTACACATGTGAATCTGTCTCTGAAATTTTGTTGGAACCTTTAACCTCATCGCTCCTGCCACTCTCCTCTCTGTATAGTGTGTCAAGGCAAATTATAGATGAAAGTTGGCTGAGTGCAGTAAACTCATCATGCATCGAGAGGCTGGCAAACTAACAGAAGCAAAATTGGCTTCCTTTTTCACATGAATAAAGAAAACGCTGGTGAATTCAAGGTTTTCCCTCACATTGTAAAATATTACATGCAGGAATAATAGATCAAATTTATGATGTTTAAGGGTCCGTTCACCCAAAGTACAGAAAAACATGTGCTCTGTGGATCAATCACTGTGACGCAGACCAGATTCTGGAAAGAAATTTTACTGTGGAATTTTCAAAATTTTACTTTTCTAACCTTTTAGCACCACAAACTAAATTTAATTTACCCTTCATTGTACCGGGGTAGATGCAGTAATTTTGAAAGATAGAGATCTCACAACCAAAAACCTTTTGCATAACTAATTAACACTATGACCTGTTCTGTTCTGAGAGTGGATGCTTTACGTGACCCTGGTGGATTCACTATGAAATACATCAAAGAAGGAACACTGAATGAAACCACTGCTGCCCTCCACGCCTTCTTACAACACCCACTTCAAGTGTGTTGACCTTCTGACTTGTGGGCTGAAGAATTTTTATCATGCATCATTCCAACGAATAACCGCTTGCAATCAAGATTAGAGTGAACTCGCAAAGAACATCTTGAAATCTTGATGCTGCAATAAAGTACTTTATATTTGATTTCACTGATTCCTTTCTGCAGGACACGTGTGCACCGTCACCATCTATCAAGGACTGCAGACATGAAATACGTTATGCTTCAAATCCTTGCATCAACAATTTAGAAAGCCCAGTGTAATTCCATCACACCACCAGTGACTTGAGATATATAATTAAAACAAAACAACATAACTGAATTTGGATTATATATTTATTTAAAATGATCTGGTTTAGAGCCTATTGATATAATCTATATACAAAAAGCAAACAACATGAATCATACGTTTGACATATAAACAGGAGATTAGCCAACCAGTGCCTACTTTAAAAGGCACTAATTCAATAAAGCATGGAGCCACATTTCCATGAAGCTGGAGGTGAAACAAACACCATGACGTTTCTACATCCTCATCCACATTTGGGTGATTAGTTTGACTGCAGTAATACACAGATGATTTAGATGTAGGGAGCAGGGGAGGGGGCTCACAGCACTTCACCGCAACCAGTTCCAGCTGTTTCTTGTTGTAAATCTGTGTTTTAAATGTGCAGAAGACCCCAGGGACCGAGGTTCACCATGGGATACCCCACACCCCACCCCCCTAAAGTACCCTACCTTTCTATAGTCCCAGCTCACCCCCGGGGCTTCACAATCACTACCAGGTGAGATTCTCTTTGTCTTTCTGCCCCCCCCCCACCCCCCTCAGGTTTTGTGGTCTGTCTGATCTGTTGTCAGTACTCCAGGCGTCTGCATTCTGTACAAGAACTGTACAGGAGACCTTATTCACAAATTAACCCCATCTATCAGCACAGGAAGGGGAAAAAGAACAGAGATGAATCTTTGATGTCGGAACGCAGCAGTGTAACTAGCTTCAAAAACACAGTTGGGTATGTAACCCTTTATCATTACAACAGCCCTTTAAAAGCCCTGCCAAGGCATCTGGCATTTGTTTGGACCTGAAATTGGATCCATTTGTGTGGCAACTCCAACAGTCACCAGTCTGAGAAGGCAGGAGCCAAAGCACACTGTACAGGTGAAATTAAAATGTAAAATAAGTGAAATAAAAACATACAAGCATTTATATACATCCTTCACGCAACATGAAACATGTCTCATAGCGTTAGTATATACAGTATTTGTGGCTCATAGTGGCAAGCAAGGGTGATTGCACAAAAAATTCTTGTATTTAAAATAAATTAAACACCATTTTTTAAATGGTTGTCTCATCCTTCTTTGATTATAATTATTTAAGAGATAAAAAACACATTAAAATAGAAAAAAAGAAGACATGATAGAGACCAAACTTCTTAATATTCGATTGGCAGTAAAGTAGTGGTATGACACATAAAATCCAAAAGAAATAAAAGCTATCTGCATCAATGGTTTCTACATCTGCAGTCCATTTCACACAGGGGAAACATAAATCATGCACAAACTCCACAATTAAATGTATACATTTTACTACTGCACTACTGTTGAGCATAAAGTTTAAGACTTAGTTTATGCCCTCTTCTTAATTCAAATTCAGACTAGTTGGCACTGGCAAGATCATTCAACAAGTCAGACACTTCTCTGGATACACTTGGGCAGTGATAAAACATGACTTGTGGGAGATGATCAAAGTAGTGTGAGACAACGGCCCGGCAAGCCTGTATAGTCACTTTTAAAAACATATTGTTTGTCAGAGTAGATACACAGACCTGTTTGTCAGTCAGTTTCCAGAGCTGGCAGAAATGCATCGTCATCTGATTTCAGATCATAGGATTACCTCTGAATGCTCCTTCTAGTTTGCCATGTTGGTTATGTCAATATATATCTCCTTTAAAAACAGCTTTGGAGCTGCAGCTGACACGTGAGCCTTTTTTGCCAACAGGATGACACGATACAAGGAGTAAATTAGCTCATCTCCTGTGAACTGGTTGCCATTTCAATAATTTGTTCTTGATCTACAACACTCTTCTGGTGAGTAGCCAGTTTAAGGTGCACTAAAGTGAAGCTAAATCAACAAACTGTGCCTTTAACAACATCTACATTCTCATCTTTCTTCCTCTCATTCTTAGAATTATTTCATCACTGCCAACAAATTTAGTTCTCTACATCCAGAAATTAAAAACACAAAACTCTTAAAGCTCCATTAAATGAAAGAACTCCTGGTAAGTAAACGTGTTGCTAGTACTGCCAATGCCACAGATAATCAACACTCATATCTTCTTGTTCCAGATCTCTGTTAAAACCCAATCACTCTCACTGACCCTTTATATAAAACTGGGCAGCTGTTTCTTACAAACACAGCCTGAAAACAGTTTGTGTGCTTGTAGAAAGGGAAGCATGTATGAAGCCAAAGAGAGCATATATTTCTCAGGAGGTGGCGGCATAAAGGTGTGTTGGTGTCAGACATATATTTGTCAGTTGGCAGGAGTGGACACTCATTGGGATGCCCATGTTCCTCTGTTTCTGCTGTGTGCAACTTGTTTGCTAACACATTAGCCACATGCACTTAGTGTATTATAGCCATGTCATAGCTTTGCATGAACAATATGCTCCTCTCTCTCTTACAGGAGAAAAGGAGGTCATCATGGTGTCTTTAAGAGGGGGCTCAGATGCCTGGCAATGGCATGGAGCCCCCTCAGTCAGTCCAGTGGTTGGGGAGTAGGTGGGGTGTGAGTGGTTGACACAGAGGGAGGGAGCTGGGGGCTTTGAGGCTGCATACTACAGACCAGATCCCTGGCCAAACTCCTTTAAAACAGATAAAAAAGGTCTGGTTGCAGAATCCATATAGAATTAAACATCTCTCACTCATAGGACTTCTCACAAAGCATCAGGAGTCTGCAGTGAGCAGCCTATAGAGGCAGGACTGCAGATGACGCAGGTTATTACCTGAACTAAACACTGACTGCACAAACAAGGTTGAGGGTCCAGAGTTGGACCCTATTACACAGGTTTGGGGTCTGCAGGCTGCAGCCTTTGTTCCCCAGCATCAGCCCCTATAACACAGGACCTGGATTGTGGTGATAGTTGTAATGGTTGCTGTGCTCGGAGTCTGCAATCTGCACGCTGGGTTTCCTCTCTGGCTCTTCATTATCAGCTGTGTCTGGCCTAATGCAGGGCGGAGGACGCTTCTTAAAGAAGTCTGACACAAAGTGCACCTGCAGAGGAGAAAAGAGGAGGAAAAAGTAGGAGGTTAGCTTTGGTCACTTGGGGAGTACTTTTCCCACAGAGATCAGCATGTATGGGATACAGAGCAGGTAAGGGCTGTGCTGGAAACTGTGAATACATATGTCTGGACAGGTCTGTGCACAGCTGTTAAGTGAAAGTCACACTTACACACATCTGAGAGGAACACACAGAGAGCAGGCACAACCCCTGTAGGCCATAAAACACTATGCCCAAGAGGTTCTGTAATTGCGCAGAACACTGTGAAGGCCAAAGGCGTGGGCTCACTTCCCAATTAATCTCACACACACACACACACACACACACACAGGTTCACTCTAAAGTGGCCAAACAGTAAAGAAGACCAGCTGGATCAAGTGAGGAGAATGAACTTATTGCCTGTTTGAGTGTGTGCGTTTGCATCAAGTCACACTTTGCTGCTGTCATACTTCACTCCCCTTATGCTTCCTGTCTATAAGGATTTTTACTGCCAGACTGAAATAAAGCTGAAATATGGATTCTTCAGCGGCTGTTCCACTTTTAAGGGAGCACCACTTACAGAAAGACTTTCATTAAAAATCATTCTTATGATCTGGACAGTCCCACCCATGTTTGCTTTTCCTAAAGCCAGAAACCACATTAGTAAGACCTAAAGATGACATCTTTTTATTTTTTGGGAAAAATATCAAACTTTCTGTAAATTGACAAATAAATGGATTCCAATCACTGTATCAGCATCTTGATACCAGAAGTTATCACTTTGTCTTATATTCTGGAAATATCATGTAGGGATTCTTATGTTTTTGCAAAGATTCCCTTGAAAGAAGTTGTCTTGGAGACTCACATTAAGCATAGCAACAAGAGCTCCCTGCAGCAGCCCCACCAGCACGTCGCTCCAGTGGTGCTTGTAATCAGAGACTCGGGTGTAACCCACATATACCGCAAAGGCCACCAGGAAGAACTGGATGGTGGGTCGGAGAAGTCTGGCCCACTTAGCCGCCAGTCTCGCCTGAACGTAAAGCTGGAAGGGGAAACAGAGTGGAAGCAGAGGGTGGTAGATTGTGGGGGGTTTGGGGGAGAAAAGACAGAAAAGAGAGAGATCAGGAGGAGAGACAGTGTGTTTATGCAGGGATTCCTTTCTGTTGTTACAGTCAACTTGCCATTAACACTGAAAAAAGAGGTCATAAGTGGTTTTGGACCCCTTAGGGGTTGCCACACCATATTTGTCATTTACATAATGTTATATAAATGAAATGTATATGCTAACGAGGCAGTGAAGTAATGCAGCAGTCAAATTTCAAAATAAAAATTAAAGCTGCAAGCGGCGTTGGGCGGGCCCTCGCACTTGTAGCGCGTTGGTGTGTGAGGCGGCCGCGTTGCATATTGTGGAGCTCTGCCAGTGCGGCTTTGAATTTGCTACGCACGTCGGACGCTGCATGAAGGTGTTATACGTCACTTCCTGTGTCCCCTTTGTGGTGCTACATAGCACTTGGCGCTATGAATATAAATTTATATTGGCGTGTAGATGTGTTCGGGGTGAGATAGTTATCAAGCACGTAAAGTTTTGTTCAGATGTGAGCATGTACACTGAAGTTGAAACAACTTCCTGTGTCATGGTGAAGAGTTGATCTTTGACGCCACGGACACGCCCATCGACGAAAACTCACAGATAGCACAACTTTTCATTGTCAATGCCTTTAGAAGGCACAGCAGAAATTTGACGTTGATCCGACTAAATCCCTAGGAGGAGTTCGTTAAAGTACGGATTGTGTAAATCATCCAGAAATTGCCGTAAAATTCAAAATGGCCGACTTCCTGTTGGGTTTAGGGCATCGCTCCAAGAGGCTTTCTGGTACGTCTGGACATGATACATGTGTCACAGAAATTTCATACATTCCTGTTGCCAGCAGGTGGCGCTATAACTGTTGGTGAATGTCGGCATGTACATGTGTTCAGGGCGAGACTCTCATCCTACATGTACAGTTTGGTGCAGATGTGAGCATGTACACCGAAGTTATAATAACTTATATAGGACACGCCCATTGACGAAAAAAACTCACAAATAGCACAACTTTTCATCGTCAATGCCTTTAGAAGGCACAGCACAAATCTGAAGTCGGTCCGACTAAATCCCTAGGAGGAGTTCGTTAAAGTACGGAGTGGAATTCAAAATGGCCGACTTCCTGTTGAGTTTAGGATATGGGTTCTTGAGGCTTTTTTGTGCGAGGGGCAAATTTTTTCTAATTTTCTAGGTGGCGCGTGCGAGTCATTTTGCCACGCCCATGCGCGAAACCCATAACATACGAAATTTTTCACCACTTCTGACATGTGTCCAAAATTTGGTGAGTTTGAGTATGTTTAGGCCCCCAAAATTGAGCTTACTTTGCAGAGGAGAAAAAAAACAAAAAACAAAAAATCCTTACAATTCAATAGGGGCCTCGCACGGTTCATGCTCGGGCCCTAAAAATATAATCTCTTCAGTTTCAATAGGGACCTCGCATGGTTCGTGCTCGGGCCCTAAAAATGTGAAAATCTGCAGTCTCTAAAGCTAAAGCAGTGGCTCATATGCCTCAAACTGGATTTAACTGTGAAAAGGTGTTGAGTATGAATCTAATTTATGTCTATGGACCAAAAACCCCCTTTTAACTGGAAAACAACAGATGCCAAAAAATTATGAACCTGGCAGCAGTACAGACTTCTCTGGGCTTCTGCTGAGCTGCTGTTGAAAATGCAAAAACTGGCATCACACCACAGTCTCCCTGCCACATAGCCACACTCTGCACTGAACACTGCAGGACACAGGCTGGATATCACAGCTTAGCTCTGTTTGTTTGCAGTATTTGCTTGGCAAAACAGAGAGCGTGGACTGCGCCACTGACAGGAATATTCTGTCTTTTCTTTCAAATTGTCTTTGAACTGAACAGTGTTGCTTTACTTGGCCTCCTGATGCTTGCTGTCTAGCACTGGTGCCTGGCTTTTAACACAAAGAGATGAGGCCAAGGGTAATGAACTGGAAAGGCCTGGAAGACAGAACACATCACATGCTCTGGCTTCATCATTGCTGGGAAAAAGGCAGCAGAGGCCTCCAGATCGTTTCTCTCAGTATACACACTCTTCCTCTGAACTCTTGCCTTGTCTTTTTATGCCCACAGGCACAAATGCCTCTATGAGCCTTTCTCCTTCTCAACAATTAGCCCTTGAGTACGGATCCAAATGCATGAGCCTGTTCTCAAATGAGCCCATCTGGGGACTGTTATCTCTGATTCACACTGAGATATTTGCGTTGTGATCACATGGAGATATTTCCATATTTACTGTACACAGAGATGCATGTTTACATTGGTGTTTTAAGACATTTAGTGATGGATTGAGGCTCATGTGCTGTACTTACCGCAAGGAAGAGCATGCAGTACATTCCAAAAGAGGAGTGACCAGAGTAGAAGGACAATCTGGATAAGAGAAATGTGATAATTAGTATTTCTTAATAGTCAGTTCCATTTTCATCTGTAATCACAATCATAGTAGAGACAGTAGAGATCGTCTCTCATACCTGGACTCTGTGACGTCCTGAAGCTTCCCAGTACAGTTGATCACCTGAACATATCCCGTGCAGACCGTGGGGGCACATACGGCCATGAAGTTAGGTCTTGGGCGGCCTATGGTGAACTTGGCAAGGTCGGTTAGTGACTGGCTAACAGCTGCTCCAAACAAGAAGGTGCCCACTACCTTGTAGAGTGCAGCTACATACTGGTTGAAGTCAGAATTAGAGTAAATCCTCTTGCTGTAGACCAGATAAGCTTCTCCAGAGGAGATCTGAGGGTTGAAAAGAGTTTTGAGGTTTTGTTCCAACTTTTATTTTAACATTTTTTTACATCATTAGAATGAAATTACTTTTCCTCCTTTCCTCCTACATCCACACATTGCCCACTTCCTAAAGGCCCTTTAGTAATGGAGCAAACAGCACAGGATGTTATAAAATGAGTTATGTCCTGTAAACTTTGCACGATTTTGGCTTTACTGAGGTGATCCGTGATAAAAGGTCCCTGTGAGAAGAGAGGTGAGATTGATGCTCTGGTTAAAACTTACAATGATAATGGTGCAGGAGATGGTGACAGCTGCCAGCATGCCGTGGGTGATGGTGTCTTGTTTCAAAGGGTACATGATGCTCTCGTCGTCACAGTAAACCCCTCTTTGATATGGCTTGAACACAATGGTCATAATGATGGAGGGCAGTGCAGCTGAAGGGAAAAACAAACCAGAAGAACATCAGTCTGATGAAATGGGTTAGAATATTTCCTATATTTGGACAAATTATGCTTTGGCAAAATGAGACGAATGCATTGGTTTTTGTCAGTGATGTATGATGTTTGGTTGCTGCCAAGATTATACCTGGGCATACAGACCAAGGGCAAGGTTGATTCAAGTTAATGAACACCAATATTTGAGCAAATGTATTTTGGGATAAAATATTTGTCTCGTTTTCTGCAGGTTTTCAGACATTACATCATTTCCAAAGCTGGGAAGTAAAAATGTTTCTCTAAGGATAGCTAAATTGTTTTCTCTCTCCCTCTGGACCTCGGGGTCTAAAATCACAATGATGAAAAAACCCACAGGGAGAAAAAAACAGTAGTTAAATGTCAGGGTAGAAACACAAGGAGTTACAAAAAGAAACAGTGCAAAATAGTATTCATATACACTGGCATGTGGGCATATGTAAAAATCACACACATATACCCAATGGACACAAGAGTGTATAAACACTCTCAAGACTGTACACAAATTACTGCAGACACAACACACATCACTGTGACTCTTTTGAATGATGTGGCTGTGTGCAAACACAAGACCAAATATAGCTGTTCAAGGCTCCTGCACGAATGATGTCCTTGAGATGTTCAGAAAAATCCTTTCCTACAATTACTCACTCACCCTCTTCCTCTCTTACGAACATACACACTCACGTTGCTGCATGGTTGTAAATGCACAAGTGTGTGTATAATGAGTAAATCCTTTTTTGAAAGACATATGATTTACAGAGTTGCATTGATAAACGCACCCTAATCAATACATTTTGCAGATGCTGTTTTCCCTCTTTGAAGCCAAACTCCTTCTAAATTGTCAGAGAATGAAGGAGTGTTTAATGCAGATTCGGCAAACTGTGACTGTTTTGAGCAGCAGAGAAGTGGACTATGCTGCAAGTAGTTTGAAAGGTTCCTTCAGATTTTTTCAGCAGTGGAAACTTTTAACCATTGTAACTTACCATAACTTCATATTAAAAAAATATTCACGGTGGCATAAGACTTCAGTAGTTACAGTATATAGGAGATAGACCTTGCTTGATAGACAGAAATAATTTATCATTTTAGTCAAAGTTTACTTGAATTTTTCCATTTTATGTCACTGCAAATTGACTGTTTTTTGAGTGTCACACAGAAAGAAAGCAATTTCAGAACACTTGCTCTGGTAGCTTCTGATGGTATTTGTCATTATTTTTCACATTTAACAATTAATTTCATAGATGACAATATTCATGAGCTGCAGCCCTTTTGAGGAATGTAATCTCCGCCTTGATATCCATTACCACTATCCATAATAGGTAGACAAAATGTATTGGGGCGACTATGGAAATGCCATACAGCCACATACTAAATGCAAGAAAAACAGCTGTAAAAAAAAAAAAAAAAACACTGCACACACTTGAAAAGCGCTCTCACCAATAGCATTACATTCCTGTGTAAATGAGCAGCGCGCCCCTCCCACTCTTTCAAAAAATGTCTGCAGCTGACATAATTCCAGGAGGACTTCCAGTGAGTCTGACTGATGAGAGACCAGGAGTGCACATACTGAAGACTGAGACTAAAGGAAAATATACAACTGGATGGAGGATCAGGACTCAGTTGAGGTCTATACTCTGAAACACCAGGTTTAACTCAACCCTGAGCCCTCTCAGGATGGATCTGCCACAACGTCCTACTGTAAATGTATGAATATTGACAAAAAAAAACCCTAAACTTTAATTCACAATAAACAACAGTATACAATGACACGCAGTGTTGTTCCTTACTCTTGTCTGACACTGCATGTATCCAAGGTGACCTGAGATGTGTGCCGGCATTGTTTAGTGGCATGCCAACTGCACACATGTTCCTCACAGACACTATATAGACAAAGAGTCTTATTGGCTCAGTAAAGAAGGGCAACAGCAAAATAGAAGCTTTGTGTTGAGAGAAGAGTAAACAGTAGCGCTTGATAGGATAAAGACATCGTCGCACATTGTACTCCTCGTAACCCGACCTTGGAGGAGATGGGTTTAGACACACAGGGAAGGAAAAAACACAAACAGGGTTACAGGTTATAGACTAATTCAGCAGCCGACACCTGTCCAATGCATCTATCCCCCCTTTTGTCTACACCCTTGTTGCTTTGTGAGTAACAGCAGCAGCTGGATGACACCTGTCCCTGCACAGTAACTTCCCACTGGCACCAACACACCAGGCACATACTGGATCCCTGTTTACACATTCACCAGCAATATCAGGATGTGGTAAACTAGGCGTATTAAGTCTTTTCGCACAATTTCCTCTTAGCATTCCCAAATTCCTGTTTGTCACAAGAGCACAATATAGGGTCTCTTGTATTGAACTAACATCCTATCTCATGCGCCTGAGGGGAGCACCCCAATATGGATTTAGTGATGTGGCTTTTGGGTGGCAGCTTCTGCATCTGTATCCTGCATCCTGCATCCTGCTTCCAGCTGGCAAGAAACAGAGCAGAACGGCAGCTAGTTTTCTATCCCACCATCAGACAAATGGTTGGACTTCAATCAAACTGAGCCATTCTGGATAGAGTGTCATTACAAGAGTTATAATTGTGAATACTGCTGCAAGGTTCTGATATATTCTATAAAGGACTGAATATCTCTCTGCAATATCAAAAAAAACAAAGAATTGCTTGGATATTCTGAATCCTCAGCACAGTTTCTTTATCTTCAAAATGTTATTTTAAACCTTTCCGGACTCCTTATATATCCAGTATGGACATGACTGAAATTTGCACAGCACGTCAAATACCTTAAAACATTGTTTAAACGCATAACATTGTCAGGGTGCTTACATTAATTTACCATACATGAAAACAAACACTGTCATTGTTATGGGTTGGGTGGTTGAATCCATAGCTTGCTCTCATTACAGTGGGGGGAGACACAGTGACATGAAATCTGTTTCCACTGGACATGTTACGTCAGCCAACACATACATTTTTATGCAGTGTTGAATGTTTGCATTTAGCAACATTACAAACAAACTGAAGCAGCGAACAAAAGCAAAGGAAAGACTTGCTTGACACACACATAATATTACGGCAAGTTTTTAAGTTTTGTGTGAGATTGGCCAGGACAAAGTCAGGGGAATGTTTATTTACTTAATAAAGCATGGTAAATGTCCCTTTAAAATGGCAGAAGGACATAATTGTTTCTATATTGGAGTCTCATGGTATAGTAACTTCAAACTGTTTCATGAAGCTTTTAACACTTGCCAGAGCGGGGCCATTAATCACAGCAGAGAGGGAAAGAAATTAAGTGGAAAGCTTCAAAAAGAAGCACCAGCAGCTAATGAAATATACTACCTTCTCCACCTACAAGGCTAAAAAGCATTTGCATGTACATCAACAACATTACATTCGAGTGTCATTTGTACCTGTTTAGAGTGTAGGCAGCGCACCTGGCCTTAAATAACCCTCCCCTGGCTTGTAAAATAAAAAAGCATGACTTTTTCATTTCTGTATTCATAAATGAAGCACTAACTCAGCTGATAGCTGACTTTAACTGGTTGGTCATAAATTACAGGTTTGGATGAAAATAAAAGCATTCAGAGAGTCTGGACTGTCGTCATGGGCAGAACAGATGGTACATCCTGAATGTGTCTCATGAGCAGTTCCTCTGTGGATAATATCTGCAAGAGATGAAGCAGCCACTCTCTTGAAAAGCAGACAGACACACAAACAAACAAACAGCTCACAGACAGAAATAGACCGGTCGGCAGACCAGATAGGTCTCCAGGATACCTACCACGAGACAACCCCACAACCCAGATTGACACTGCTCCAGAACTGCCTCCACTTAGAGACCAACCAGCATCTCTGATTTGAGCTAAACTCAGACATCTACGGCACATTTTTATGTCCAGAAAACCCAAGAGAACATATACATGGACAGAAGGTGGGGTGTGGTGGAGGGCCCTTATTCAGGATACAGGGGAACCTTCTTTCTAGACACTAGTTTCTAAGGATCGAGGGGAGGAAAACGCTGCCAGTTTGGAATGTAGCCAGGAAGCTAATCTTCAGCTGCCAGTAAGAAATCTTCTGCCTGAGCCCCTAATGGGAGCCCGTTTGAAGTCGCAGGATGCAGGACTCGAGCTCTCCTGTCTCAGATTAAGCAAGGCACATTTTAGGGGCTTTGGCTCCATTTTGGGAAGTTTAAGGCTTCTCATTTACCTGGCCTCAAATCAACATTCATCCGCAGTGGCACCTCTGCGTCTCTCCCTGATGAAATGGGTCTTAGTGTGACAACGAGCTGAGTAATTGACAATGGTCACGGGTCAAGAGGGCCTGAAGAGTATAGAAATGTCAGAAGCTCATCATAGAAAATTATAGTGCTAAGTGATGCCACAGACAAACAAAGATGTCACTGTAAGAGGAGATTTGCACCCTTTCCTTCATTCCTTCCACCACTGCTGATTCACATCCTCCATTCTGCCACCCCCGTCTTATTCATTCATTCTTCTTCCCGCCGCTCCATCTTTCTTTCTGTCATTCTCTTGATCGCAGCGTCCTCCCACACACTTCTCCTTCTGTTGTAAATATAGAGGCCTCAATGGGATGCTGCTTTATTTAGCTGGCAGATGTGCAATTACGCAGGACCATTTGGACCACAATCGCACTCTGGGGCTGAGATTCGAGGCTTGTCGTGTCTTCTCTCTGCCTCTCTCGATCTAGTTGTTGTTACCTCAGTTTTCATGCATTTGCCCTCTCTCACATTTCTATGGGCCTGTCCTACTAAAGCGAGGTCAGTGCCTGGACTCATCTGGAAGTTGTTCCAAAGGAACCTCACACTTACTTGCCCTGGTTTCTCTCACATAACCTGCTGCACCTGCAAAACCACGAGGATGGACAATTATTCTCCTCAAGTTGAAAAACATATAGTTGGGGTTTTCATTATGCATATTTTCAAGGCGTGTAAAGCCTGTGTGCGGTATGTGTGCTGTGAGAGGGGTGTTCTCATGCCCCAGGGCTGCCCTGTTTGGTCTAAAATGTTTCCTCAGGGTCACAGCTGTAACATTTGCTCCTTCATCCAATTTCTTCCACTCTCATTTCATGTCTTTTCAGCCTGAAGGTCACTCAGTGAGTTCCTTCTTTCTGTATTTCTATCCCACTTTCCAATCCATCTCTTCCTTCTGTTAATAGCTCTTGTTTCCCTTTGCATTAACACCATTACTTTCTTCTTTATTTTTCATCCCTGTGTCATTTACTCCATCTGACTATGCTGCTAGCCCTCATCCCCTCCCACTGTGGATGAGGACAGAGGCCCGCATTTTTTTCTTTTAGCTGCAGTCAATGTTTCCACTTTTTTTCCCCCTTCCTGCTCTCTTTTGTTTCCTCCCTCCATTTCAAAACACACTTTGTTGAAATGACAGCAATAAACCTATAGCACCACAGTTCTTTAGTGTATCAACATAGGTGATGTTAAAGACCTTTAAAAGATGGTTTGCAGTAACAAAACAACTAAGCTCTCCCTCTTTCTGACTGTCTCACCCCAAGCTGGACTGACTAATGTGGAAGGTATGTGCTGAGCCTACAACCTCTGCCGGCGTTGGCCTCTGGAATTCCAATTCACATGAGGAACGCCCAACTTCACCAGTCACACCAAATCCTGCTGCTGCTGCTGCCCATTCTTTATTTTTAATCCCGCTGTTTCGCTCCGTACATCATTTACACATGCTTAGCTCCAAGCAGCGCAGAAGGAGACAGGGTGGCAGGCGAGGTCGTACGAGTGGTGGGAGGGCAGCTAAATCTGGGCTGGCAATCAAAGAGTCTGGGTGTGGAGGGGATCAAAGAAGTAAGCCACACAGGTTTAAACCTAAACCATAAAAAGGTCTGCAGGAGTTAAAGTGTACAACTATCACGAACAGTACTGAGCTTCTGTGAAAGTTCACTAAATGTGTAGCTGTGTCGTGTGCTACATTTTTAAACATCATTGCCAAATATATAGTGATTCTTTGGTATAATCACTTATGTTCAGCTGCTGTGATCTCTATATTAGGACCACCTTTTTAAAACCTCTGGTCGCTATCAAACAGCAAGCACTCATGCTTCCCTCTCTGTGCATATGTTTTCCCTCTAACTTTACATGTTGGCAGGTATTTCTCCAGCATGCTTTTAAAAGACAGTGGAACGCTACACTTGAAGTCATCTGTGTACTGGGTTGACTTTCTGGGAATGTGGCAATGATTTCTAAAAAACAACCATCATGAAAAAAGATCCTCCTCCACTTTAGAATATGACCAATAAAAGACTCCAAAATCCTTATGCTATAACAAAAAACAATTATAATAAGAAAAAATAAACTAGGCTCATACTTCTCAGAGGGACATTCTTGTTTGTTCAAAGGGCTTCAGTTTCCATGACAAAGCTCTCCTGAGGAAAACAATTCCCATCAAGCATCTTCACTGCCTTTCTGTGAGAACTCGGGACAATCAGTCTTCCCAACACGACAGCATAAGAGGGCCAGCTCCCTGGAGACGCTGCAGCACCACGGCTTCACCAACAAACTCTAACCGACATCCAGCAAGATCAAACAACAGATTGTGGGGATATTTACTGTATAAGTAATACGATGAATATAATGCAAGGAAATACATGATAGTTTTACAGCGGTGGGACTTTGGGAGCAAACGCTATTGTAACAGGTAATTTATCAGTCAATAACAAGACGCTGACACAACATTAAACAATGGGAACAATTTTAAACTTTGTTCAAGCTTTGGAAGAGAATCAGAAACTCAACTGCCTTATTCTTTGTGTTAACTGGACGGGAAAAAAAACATATCTGTAAACAATCTATGCGGGTAGATGTGAGCTAAAATACACAGGAGTCGTATACGCAAAACAAACGGATGTAGTACTATAACCCATTGTCATCTTTCTAACACAGCTGTGTCCTTATGTCCAAAGCCTTGTCTCTAGGCCATTTAGACATGTTACTTACTTAGAGTATCTAGTACACTACTCAAAGCTCATTGCCATTCATATCACCCACAGCAGCACCGGGTCACGCAGCAATGTGAACTGTGCTGCAAGCCTCGAATTCTGACTCCTAAACAACTTACACAGGCAGCACCGCACCTACGAAATACGAGCTGTGGGCAGGGAGAGGTTAAAGGACAAAGAAATTGCTTCTGTTGAGGAGTAGTGAGTAGAAAAGCCAAAGAAGATAATAGCAGTTGTTAATCAGATAGGATGACTTCCAGTGTTGGAAGATTCACATGTGGATTTCTTTGCATTACAATAAGTAAGAGGAAATGGTACCAAAATGCAGACAAAACCCAACTCAAAACTCTCAGCCCATATAAGCTAATGGGCAGCATAATTATAAGCTCTACCATGTACTTATTACATGGCTGGGGCAACCTCACATAAGCTTGGGGTTGACTTGACGATTATTTGGGTGGGTGACGTGGGTGGCAAAAGGGAAGGGAGAGGCAAAAGGGTGGGATGCAACTACCAAAACCTGACCGACCATCCTGACCCTGACTTTAATCCCAGACTTGTGACAGCGAAACGGTGAGGCTTATCAAGTTCAGCAGTCTGTGAATGTTCCCACAGATGGAAAAATACTCCTAAGCTCTCTGAAAAGCCAGGGTGGGTGGGTGGGGGGGATTTTGGTGGTGGTGGCTGAAACAGCACAACAGAGCAGATCCGCACATGCACTCCTCCTCGTCCCTGCCTCCTGCCTGTCTCTCCCTCCAACCTCACCACTGTCACCAGTACAGACACACAACAAGGGATGAACACGCCGCCACACACCAGACCATTACACAACACATGTCTGTCAAGGGCTTATGTCATTAATACAAAAACCAACGTCCCACCATATTATCTCTGAAAACAGCGTTGAGGGTGGTGGTGATGAGTTATAATCATATTCAGTTCCATTCATAAAAATTTAATGGCAAAAGATAAATGTTGACAACTATAACCACAATAGGTGTCACTGATGATTCACTTTCCAACATGTCATTATTTGTTCATTGCCCAGAGGCAGACGGAGACAACAACTTGTACAGTATAATGATGGGATCTAGTTACAACTGCAATGGAAAAGAAAAAACAGCCATATTGTTCCTTGGAAAATGAAAAATGATTCCTAACTGGAATTAAATGCAAAACAATGGTCAGTGGAGGAATGTGGAAGTAACATACTGAGAAATGCACTGTATGTGGGAAGTGGGGGCCTTCTTGAGAAGATTCCTGGCAGATAAAATATTGAAGAAAATGAGGAATAAGCAGGGCACACAGGCATATCAAATTTCCATAAACAAACATTGAGCTTCCTGAAGCTCTGTAAAGTCCTGCAATGTTTTTTTTGGTGAGTAGGTTTGAGCACACAGCAGCCCTGTGGGGAAAATGAGAATGATATTTCCTTTTGTGTTTCGCTGTGGTGCAATTTAATGTCACATTTCAGCCTGGACAATACTGTAGTTGTGGTCTGCATAAACAGGCGGCTGACAGGCTGCTCTTTCAGTAACTTACTGGACTCAGGTATGGAAATCCAGCTGCTTCATTTGCCTTTTGAAGAGACACCGGGATAAACTAGCTTCGGTGTTGTCCTGGGGATCTCTCGTCTGATTAAAAACATGTTTCCTTGTTATTTCCATGTGTAAATAAACACACACTGCAGAATTTAAATTTTTAGATCAATTCCTGAGTTGCTGTCATGGGTGCAAAACACTAAAACACAGAGCGACTGGCACAAACCCGCTGACAGCACCACAAAGTCCAAATAATTTTCTTGCGGACATCACCGAAGTGCAATTCCTAGATAAAATGCAGATTATGCTTACGTACAGTTTTGTAGGCCTATAGTGTACGTAACTTACCAACTAAAACGCACAACACGTCCATTGCCACGTACAGTTTCTTCTTCCTCAGCCCCTTCATCTTCTTTCCGTTCATTTACTTTACAAACTTTATCAACTTAAGGGAGAATAGTTACTTTGTGAATGAGGTAAACATGTCCATCGGCGCACAATCGCGTTGGAATTAAAGTTCGCTATGCAAACAACCCGGTAACCTGCACTTCGAGTTCTTCCGGGATCCTCTTGAATACCTGTGCTGACATTAGCAGCATAGGTGTGTGACTTTCTTAAAAAGACAGGATTTAAAAACTTGTATCTGAGCAGACACGCGATGAAGTCTTACGTCCTTTTCTGCGCATTACTGCCTTGGGTACAAAACCAACTGGAGATATCCTCCAGTTTCACAGCGATGGAGGCGTCCGGAGAATCCAGTATGAAATGTTTTGCACACACACACACACCCACCCACACCACGCCACTGAGCTGATCCCTCCTCCTAACTTCCTCGTCTGGCTCCTCTCTGGTTATCTGATCATCGCCAGGCTCGAAGTTTTTACGCGCAAGAGAGAGAAAACCTCTCTGCGGTTTGCTTGATTTTTCTCTCCCTGCCTTGCAAACCAACTTTTTTTTATAATACATTTTAAATTTTGAGTAGAAAGGACCCGCAAACTGTAAGGATCAGACCAGGAGAAGGTGCCTGACAGCAGTGAACCAGACACAAACGGCTCTGTCAGGTCAGAAATACCCCTGAGGAATAATGAAAAAGAAAGATAAAAGGCAAAGCCTGAAACAAATGCCTGTCATTCCACCTGACCTAATTATCTGAAGTAATCTGGATTTAATCATGAACCTACAATCATGGGTTTGAAAAGCACTACAATAAGGCTGTGGCTTTAATTGAGGACTCTGCTCTGCCCTGTTTCTGAGATCCTCACATAGATGAGAGCCCTACATGATCTCATCCCATCATGTACTTCAGTTTCCAAATGAAAGCCCCACAGGAAAAACACTCAGTTTTGTTGAGAACTTAACCTTTCCCAGAGTACACCCTCCTCCCATATATGAGAGAGATTTAAATCGAAGCTGACTAAAGAGCAAACAGGTTCTAAATAAGGTCTAAACATATTAGTCAACACCTTCATGTCACTGGGAGGTGGAGCCACACTGAGCACACTTGGTGGTTGATTAAAAAAATGTAACTGAACTAAACTTTCAGTCCAACAAAAGAAGGGAGATTAAGTTCTGCTGGGAGTATAGAAAAATTAGCATGACTTAACACCAGCATGAATCTGGACCACAGTTATTTTGCTCCAGGCCATCAGGATGTTTCCCTACCAGCAACTAATACCAGGCCACCACCTGCTGGCTGGATGTGTGTAGCGTTTCATGGCAATTTGTGTGCATTAACAGTTAACTCTGTTTGCATGACAAACACCATGTTCACCCCTAAGACTATTAGTTGAGCACACACTTGAGTTAAGTATATAATCTAACATGCACAAACCCTGTCTTGCAGCTGTATTTGACACTGCGCATTTGCAAATGGTAGAATTAAATTCATTAAAATCAGATTATATCTAGCGCTGTAGGTCTGCCAATTAAAACGTGACACTATGGAAATGAAACATACAGAAGAATATCCCTCAAAAGAAGGGGCAGCATTGAGACTTCGGTGTAATGAATCCATTTAAAACAGATTCTCTGCCCCCTTCTGGTTGTTTCTAACAGTAACAGGCTCATCCCTGTGGACACTCTAGTCAGACAAAGATTGATTTAGCAGATTCTTTTTGAAAATTACAAAAACTATACATTATACATAGAAACATGGATGAGACTCCCAGATTCATTCAAATATTCTGAAGGAAAGAGCTCCATAAATATGGTCTAAAATCATTAGAGGATGCCTCCAGATGTCATATTTGTTATTTTAGTCACCATGTTTAGCTTTGAGAAATGCAATAAAACAATCTCTTAGTAGATGGATTGAAGAGTTATTGTTAAGTGTATGCCCTATAATCAGTTCAGTCTGTTTCAGTGAGCATACACTACTGTCCTGAGTACGCTCACAAACAAGAGGAAGATGGTCTATTGCAAATTTGAAAAATTATATATCAGTGCAAAGCAGAACGTGTGTTGGAAGAGATGGGAAGGGGTGTTGACTACAGTTGTACTGAATGTAATAAGAAAATGATACAATTCTTGATTTTGCACTGGCACTGGCATAGTCATAAACCCATATTCCCACTGATATGCATCAATTTTCAGTATGTTAAATAAAAATAAGGACCGGCTGTGTCCTCCAGCTCTGATTTAATGTTTATTTATATTATATATTATGTATTATGATTATTATATATATTATTATTATATATTTGATTTAGTATTTATTCTCAAATTCTCTTATTCACCTGCTGTGTCCTCTCCAGCTCTTATGGCAGCAAGATTCACTCCACTCACATTTAATTCACAAGGAATAATTCCATAATTAAATGAAAATATAAATATATCCCTGTCAGGATTAACTGTTTTCTGTTGTCATGGTCAGAAAATAAATTTCATCTTACTGGCAAAGGATGCTGGTCCCTTCTGGACTAACTCCAATTTCATTTCACTGTCCACAGCCCAAAGTTATTCACCTTGATGGTACAACATTACAAATGGTAAGTCAAAACTAAATGGTGTAATATGTTCTTAGTTTGTTCTGAAAGGTGACTTTTCAGTGCTTGCTCAAATTTGAAATTCTATGTGAAAAAGGACTCCCCAGTCACAGAAAACCAGGGGTGGGAGAAATATTCTATCAAATTAGCAGAAACTGTCTGTAATTGAACTGTAAGAAATTCAAAATGTACACTAAAGCTAGTACTGGTGTTCATTGGTAAATTGTGGGAAAAATTTCTTTACATTTTGGGCAACAGTAAAAAACAAAACAAAAAGACAAATGCTAGCCATCCCCATGTGCTTTTCTTCACCTGTTGCATGCTCATACATTTACAAGCATCAACATTCTTCTTTATCTTACAGTTCAATGGTTAATTTAGAGATTTTTTCGTTGGAAATCCAGGCGGTCAGACTGCTGAGTGCAGGGTCAGGAATTGGAGGCCAGATATTCTGCTTCATCCTGCATTTGTACGTGAAGCTTTGTCACGGTTTTGGTGTTCGTATTTTCTGTTTTGTTTTGAAGTTGTCTGCTGCTGGTGTCCTTGTCTAGCTTTGCTTCTTCATTTGTCTGAGAGTTTCCACCTGCTCTTTCTGTTTCTGTATACAAGTCTAAGTGTTCTGTTTGTTCTTTGTTGGTTAATTTGCATATTTTGTCAAGTGTCTCTGCCCTGATTTATTCTGTCATGGTTTGGATTTATTCTTGGATTCTGAGCACTGTGGATTTCTGTTTGTAATTGTTTTTGGATTTGTTTATTCTGTGGACTGCTTGCCTCTGCTGTGCTGTAAATTGCAATCACTTGTTTTAAATAAACACTGACAACGGTACCTACTCTGCCCAAGTGTTCTGCTTTTGGGTCCAAATCCCTAATTCCGTGTCTGTGCTTGGTAAAAGCTGACACAAATGGCCATTTCTAGACATTGAGATAGCGTACACTTGACCTTCCATAATCTAGATTAGATATGTTCACTGCAAATGACCTGTTTCAGCACATATGCTATTGAGCTATGCTAAAAGAACAGTGTCAATGTGTTCCTTGTTTAGCCAGTGATAGCTACCTGACCCTGTTGGCCCTGTGTTTTATAGTCAAATGAAATACAAATAAAGAACATGTTTCCTGAAGAGAGACCTACATAGAATTATGTTCTCTGTCTCACACTCACACATACTCAGAGACAACCCTACTAATTTAGGCTAATGTGCTATGTCTTTATGCAGAGAAAACAAAGTATCCAGTTTGTGATTGTACATTGCACTTTTATTAAGAGAAACTGAAAATAAATCTATTTTGTAATTTAGTTATTCTGTCTTGAAGGAAATTAATTCTATTTTCTGTTAACTGATTGTAGAATAGTAGAAAGATTCATTTTTATTTAGCTGTCATACATACGCCACTTTGCAGTTTTGTCCTCAAATAAGTAATTAGCAGTGACGCTCCTAATCAGCTAGAGAAACTTGGTTTGGAAAACAGGAGGCCAGAAGAGATAGGGGGACAGTTGCAATTACATCACATGAAGGCATTTCCTGCCTCCTGACGCGCTTCGTATTCTCTCATATCACTCTAACAGAACATGTACAGCTGAAACTACTATCCAGACATAAAACTTAACAAAATCTAGCCTCTCTCTCATTGTCTCCTGTTTCTGTTCCGTGGGCCAGCTGGGAATATCTGCTGGTCTGGTAACATTTAGATATACAAAGCTACCAGGTTGAATAATGGCAAATAACCAATTTTAGTAATAACCACTTTAATTTTATACTTAATTTAAAAAAAGAAAGGAACTTAACTGATACATAAGAGCTCTTTGGTGGTCGTCAATACTGGAAAGTTACCACAGCTGAGTGTGTGCAATGGACATGGTGAAAGTAATATGCTGCACATGTTTGATAAATTTGATAAAAAAGACACATACATTGTAGTCTGTCTATATCACACAAAATGACATGTTGCCTGCAATACATTGATACCTTATAATCTGTAGTTCTGGACATCTTGCAATAAGACAATTTTTTTTATTTTTTTTATGAGAAAATACCTGAAAGGGTGAGATTATTTCACTTGTTATATTCAAAGTGATAACAGTGCTCATGAGCTCAACTGTTGGTTCATACCTACAGTAACCCACAGAGGTGGACTAGCCCGTCCTTCTCCTGCCGCTGTGTGAGCTGTCGTGTAGATGTGAAACTCAAGACAGAACTGTCAAATGGTACTGCAGTGTCTCACCTGACACCGTGTGCACTTCACCTGCACTACAGCAGTGTGTTAAAAAAACAACTCTGCTGTGTACAGAAACTTGCTAAAAAGAGACTAAGCAGAGACCTAAATTCAACATATTATTTCCGCATTTTGTAATTGAAATGAACTTTTATTACCACACACAAACTTTTAAGATTTAATTGTTTAATATTTTCATATGACTGCTTACAAGGCTAATGCTTTTGAGCATTCTTTGTCTTGTCAAGCAAACGAGTGCAACACTATTAGTTGCTGTAGACTGTATACTCTGACTGTATAATTGTGTGTTACTTGTTGCATTGCTCTCCTGACAGTAGAGGCTGTATTGGGTGATGAATCCATGCTGCTCCTCCCCACACCACATGAATTGCACTGTTGCTATGTTCCTTCACCTGCAGCCTG